CGGTACAGCTCCAGGAGCTCCTGCCTCTTGTCCTCAGGGATGCAGTCAGAGAAGAGCAGGTCCCACACAGAGAACTCACCGGCTGGGACGTCAATGGTGGTAGACTTCAAGGCGTTGTCTCGTGCTGAACAGCCATCCCCATTTTCCTCTGCTTTTTGTGGATTCCCAGCATTCGCCGTGGGTCTGATATTCGCAGCTTCTGTTCCGTTGATGACGGTGCTGACAGCAGCAGCCACCTGTTCCGTGCTCAGTATCCCTGCCCTGTACAGCTCCAGCAGCTCCTGCCGCTTCTCCTGAGGGATGTAGGTGGAAAAGAGCAGATCCAACAAGGAGACGTTTTGTCCCTGCAACTCACCGGCGGCGACATGGATGGTGGCAGACTTTAAAGACTTTCTCAACTGCTGCTCCTGGGAGCGCGCGTCCTGCGCCGGCTGTGACTCTCCTATCTCACCGTCGGCTGTTGCTGTGGATGAGCCCAGGTCTCCGTTTCCCGTTTCCACCCCAGCGATGATGGCGGTGAGAATGATGATCATCTCCGGGACGGTCACCGTCCCTGCTTTGTATTTCCTCAGCAGCTCCTCTCTCTGGTGATCAGAGACGTAGCGAGAGAAGAGGAGCTCCCAGACGGTGACGCTGGAAGAGCCCTGGAAGAGCCCCACACTGACGGTGGTGCGGGCAGCCTGCAGGGCTTTGCGGGCGTCCTTGTTGAGCTGGAAGAGCACGGATCCTTTGTCCATCACGTGCAGCATGAGCAGCCCCGTGTCGGGGTCGGGCACGCAGCGGCGCAGGAGCTGCGTGTAAGTGAGGTTCTCGTGCGTGTTGGGGTCGAAACAACTTCTGGTTTGGTTCTTTGGGTTCAGGAGGAACTGGCACATCTCGTGGTCAAAGTAGCCGCGCTGGTGGGCCGCCTCCACGGGCAGGCGGTCGCCGTTGGACGGGTCGATGATGCCGCCGGTGGCGATCTGGGCCTCCAGCAGGCGGATGGCGTGTTCCTTCACGATGAACTCCTTCTGCATGGCCTGGAAGAGGGAGATCTTGTGTCCCGTGTACGGCTCCGTGTACCCGGTCACGGCTCCCTCTGCTGACAGCAGCTTCTCATAGAAATCCCTGCCGATGAGTCCCGCGCTCAGCGCCTCTTTCACTGACAGCTTTGCGTTGCTCACGGGGTCGGTGAGGAGCCCCGACGCAGCCTGTGCCTCCAGCAGCACCAGGGCTGTGCCCGGCGTCAGGAGCCCCCTGATCATGGCTTCGTAGATGCTCAGCTTCTTGTTCTTCGCCTGGATGAAGACGCCAGCTATGAAGTTACTCCCATCCCCGCGCATCTCTGTGCGCCTGCTTGCGGTCGGGTTCATTGCCGTGTTGCTTGGCTTGTTGTTCTGAAAGGCTCCACTCATCTTCTGTCTCTGGGCAACAGTCCTGCTGCCGTGGAGCACCGCGTTTGTCTGGCAAGAGAGAAAGAAAAGACCTGGTGAGACACGGGTTCCTGAGCATGGTGTGAGCAAAGAGAAGCCGTGTGGCAGCCCAATGGAAAGCAGGAAGCGGCACGGACAACCTGGCTTCTCTCAGAGTCCTCCAAGGAGCTGCTAGGCCTCCTGGACACCCGGGATATTTGGCTTCTGAGAGCTTCCTCTCCTGTTTCCTGAGCGACGCCGCTGCTGCCTGCTTTGGGCACAGGGCACAAAGTGAGCACAGCCCCTGCTCACCTCTCTCTGGCTGCTGTGCTGCCCTGGGCTTGGCAGGTTTAATCAGTGATCACCCGACCAGCAGAAGTCATCACAGAATCATAGCATGGCCTGGGTTGGAAGGGACGGCAAGGATCACGAAGCTCCGACCCCCCACCACAGGCAGGGCCACCAACCTCCCCGTTTCACAGCAGCCCAGGCTGCCCAGGGCCCCATCCAACCTGGCCTTGGACGCCTCCAGGGATGGACGGGGCATCACAGCCTCTCTGGTCAGAAGCCATGCCAAGAAGCAGTGCTGACTTCCCAGTGTTGCTGCCACTGGCCACCGTCCTGCTGCAGAGAGCTGCTGGCCGGCGCTGTGCCTCACCTGCCCTCGTCCCCTCGTCCTCGTCACACTGCCTGGCTTTGCACTGGTGGGCTGTGAGTGTGGGCTGTGGCCACGGCCCAGCTCAGTGCTGTACAGATCCTCCTGCCCCGTGGTCTCAAGGCACCCCGGTGTGACACAGGCCGTGGGATTGGTCCATGGGAATTGGGCAGATGGGTGCGGGGGGGCTGTTGAGCTCCAATGCAGCAGAGAGAATCTGAACCAGCGGAGACCATCTGTAAGGCCGAGGTTTGCTGGGGGTGAGGTGTGCCTGGGTTTCCGCTGGCTCTGAGGCCCCAGGGCTGGCGGAGCCCCATCTTGAGTCTGTTACACTCTCTTCACCTCCTTAACCTGGTGCCACAGGCAATGCTCACACTGCTCTGTGGCCAGAACTGACTTTGAGGTGCACCTGGAGACGGTCAGAGGGAGGGTTGGTGGCCTGTGCCACCCTGCGACCGTTCCAACCCGTTCCAGAGCCTGGGGACGAAGGCAGGGTCAGTGGGAGGGCTGGTCTGGCCGTGTGCTCTCCCTGCAGTGTGGCAGGGATGCTCTGCAGATGTTTGGGGAAGCAGCTGTAGCAAATATCTCCCGGCCCCTGGGGCTGTCGGGGGGACTGAGCGGTCGCCCTTTGTTTTTAGCTGATTGTTACGGGGGTGAAATGGTGGCTGCAGCGATGTTTGCGTGTATAAGGCAGAATCAGGGAGGGCTAAGAACAGAAAGCTGCTCGGGACGCTGCAGTGGGAGCTGTTTGCAGGGGGCTTTCCCCTTCACACGGGTGCTTTGCAATAAGCACGACAGGTCACAGTCTTGCAGTTCCCTTCATGCAGAAATGCAGCCCCCAACCCAGGTAGCTGCTGCGCTGTCGGAGCTGCGCAGGGTCAGAGCGAGGGCCCCTGCAGCCCAACTCTCCTTTCCATCCTGAGCTGGAAGTGGACAATGGGAAGGATGGGGAATGAGGTGACGTGTAACGTTTCCCTGCTTCCTATGGCAGACTCTGTTTTGGGCTCAGTGGATTTCATGAGCTGAACACATTCGGGGTCTGTTTAGCATTGCTGAAGGGATCTCTCCCAAGCAGGCTCTTATGAAAGCTCTGCAAGCTCTCAGCATCCCCAGCATCATTTGGTGATAAGGCCTTGGATCTCGTAAGCACGGCAACAACAAAACTCACATTTATCTGGGAACACCCATCTCCCATAAAGCTGCAGTGACTGACGTTAATGATAAGTTTAATTATCAAGGACACAGCTTAATTCCCTGATGTTTACCTAACTGGTCCAAAAGTCTCTGAGTCATTGCTTTCGATCCATTTACATATTGCATCGATGCTGGCGGGGATTGATCACAGTGCCGGAACACTGCATCCCTGCATCACCTGCCCTGGCTCCGGGCTCCCTGTGGCTGAGGGGCTGCAGCCCACCCCCAGCCCCAGCCCCATGGAGCCGCTTCCCTGCAGCTGAACCCCCCTGGAGGTGCGGGGCCGGTTGTGCCACCTCAGCGCTGCAAAGCAGAGTCACTGTCACACCCCGGAGCAGGAGACACCTATGTAGGACACGGATGTCGTGTGAACACCCCACACGGGAGGACGTTGCCCAACGGCAGGCTATCATTAGCCGTCTCTAATCAGCGCTCCTGATGCTGGGGCTGGGTTGCAGACGCAGCTCCCGGGGCAGCGGCCGCCGTCCTTTTTGGCTGTCACAGCAGCTCCAGGCCCTGATGGAAGCGGTTTCCTGGCTGGGGTGAGTTGTGGCCCCTCGCCCTGCCTGCACCCCGGGCAGCGTGAGCATCGCTGCACCCCAGCCTGGTGCTCACAGCCCCACTGCCAGGCTCCCAGCTGAGACCTCAGCACAGCCCTCTGTCCTGCAGGCTCAGGAGGGTCCCGCAGCTCTGGCTGCTTCCCCCCAAATCCTGCTGTCCCGACACGAAGCGCATTGCGTGGAGCATCCACTCCATCGGCCCCGGAGCCACTTCATCACTTCATCTCTTTTTAGCAAGGACTGTGCCGTACCCGGAGCCCTCCTGCTCAGCCGATCCCATGGCTTCCGCTGCCCTCCAAATGGCAGCGGAAGAGGAGAGGACTTTGTAACCCTTGCAAACCCCTGGGGTCTGCACAGAGCGTGCAACTCTGGAGCTGTGCTGAGCTATGCGGTGTCCCCGCCAGAGCTGTGCCAGGCTGCCCAGTGGTCCCGGTACCCCCACCTCCCCAGATGGGCCGTGTCCTACCTGCTGGACACCGATCCGGAGCCGTTGCTCCCCACCGGGCTGCGTTCCTCCTCCTCCCACCGCCTCTCTGGCAGGACGAGCAGCCGAGGCCGGCTCCCCATTTAAATCCTCCGCTTCCCCGCCCCGGGGGCTGACACGCGGGCCCTGCCCCGTGCCACCAACCCAGCCAAAATACAGCCGGCCGCTGTGGCTCGGCAGCGCTGCAGCTGCTCCGAGAGCCGGCTGGGGGGGCAGAGACTGATGCTGAGACATGTGGGGGGTATCCCTGGCAGGAGGTGGAGTGAGTGATGGCCATGGGAGGCACCGAGGGCGCAGCGCTGCTTCTGGGCTCTGCTCCCACCATCTCTTGATGCGTGATCCCGATGTTCTGGAGGCCTCTATGGGTCTGAGCTCAGCTGGGGCAGGAGCTGCAGCCGCCTCCCGCAGCCCTCTCTGCTTCCCGTGGGGGACAGAGGTCCAGCCTGCCCCCCGGTGGGGCTGGGACCACGCAGGCACTTTTGACAGGCGGTCATTGGGGCTGAAGTTGCTCTGAGATGGACATCTCTCCCATGACGGAATGACAGAGCAGCGGAGGTCGGCAGGGACCCCAGCGGGGGCCGCCCAGAACGGCTGCTCCTGGGCCAGATCCAGGCAGCAGTTGAAGGTCTCCAAGCAGGACGCTCCGCAGCCTCTGTGGGCAACGTCTCTGTTACCACTGTGCTCCAGGAGAGCAGGGCAGCCAGCACCGGCCTGGGGGCTCAGGGCACTCGCCGGGTCGCTCGCTGGCACAGGATGTGCAGGAGCAGGGAGTGAGGGGCTCCGCTGGATGCAGCTGAGGCTCTGCCCCGCATTTGAGCCGCGTGCCGTCAGCCCACAGCCGCAGCTCTGGTGAACGCAGCTCTCCTGGTGCTTTCTTCTAGCAGCGGTGTGGTTTGGGCTGGATTGCTGCGGCACGTAACTGCACAGCTGTGCATTGTGCTCAGAGGCTGGCGGTGCACGCACAGGTAAACCTCTGACCGCACGTCTGAGGTGTGCGACTCAAATGCATGCGTGCATCCGATGGTGCATGTGCGTGGATGTGCCTGTGTGAGGCTCTGTGTGCAGCTGCACATGTGTGTGTGTTTGTATGTGTGTGTCCATCCCCGTGTGGGTGCGTGTGAGGTGGTGCCCCACTCAGAGGTGTTCCCAGCCCCTGCCCTGCCCTCCCCGGGCTCTGCTGTGGGTGCACATTCCTGCTTGCCTGCGTGGGTGCTCGCCGGACGGACTGGATGAGCAGCACACAGAGCGTTTTCCCTCTGAGTCACCGTGGAGGTTGGCTCTGCTGAGCGCACCTGGGCAGGAGGTCCCTTTGTGTAGGGGATGGAGCTGTGTGCAGGACCCGGTTCTGCTGCCTTTCCTCCCTCCCCAGAAGCTCTTCCTTACCAGCTCCCGATGCACCTCAGTGTAGGTTTGAAGGTTCAATATTCGGGCTGTGCTGCACACAGAGCCTCGCTCAGGGCCGGGTCCTTGGCTGGAGTCGGGTACAAGGGCTGCAAAGGTGCCTGCGCCAGCAGGAGGATCCTCTCCATGCCCTGCTCCGAGCAGCACCAGCCCTGAGCACGAGCCTGGCCAAGGGCAGCAGCAGGTGCTGTGCCACTGCCCTGTGCTCTCCGTGCACTGACTGCAGTGCTCCCAGTAACTCCGGACCACCACCCAGAGCCACCCAGCTCATTTGGGCCACCAGCTTGGATCCTGGACACCCGGCTCTGAGTGCTGCAGTTGGCGGCTTCCCTCAGAGATGCGTCACTTTGCACTCATCAGAGCAGTGGCTGTGGTTTGTTTCACTGCAGCACAGCCCAGGCTCCCACTACAGCTGTGGAGAGCGGATCAGAGAGCAGAGCACGACTGCTCCGACAGCACGCATCTCCTGCAGGGTGTGCAGAGCTGCCTGGGGCAGCCAGGTGCCCACACTGCATGCAGGCACCACCTGCAGTGAATCAGCCGTGGATCCCAGGAGCTGCATCCCTTGGAAATGACGGTGCCTCACCTGCATCCTATTCCCTCGTTAGCAGAGAATTAGGTCGCTCCACTGATGGGGACTGAGCCTTTCATCCTGCTCTCCGCTCCTCAGCCAATTTCTGAGATGTGACATTGCCTTTTCTTTTTCAGCCCCTGGGCAGTTTGCTTTCTCCAGAGCCTTAAGGCACTCCAGCAGCTGTTTGGAAGTGGCTGTGCTCTGCTCTGCTCGTTCCTCTCTGCTGCTCCTGGTGTTCTACCTTAGCCTTGAGGCTTAAAGGAGAGCTCCCATCCCATCCTGGGAAGCAGCACCAGCCCCTCACCTTGGGATGCTGGCACAATGGCGCCGGCTCCTCGCTCCCTGCAGCTGCTCCTCCATCTGCACCACGTCCTGTGAGTATCTTGGAGGATGCTTTCCAGTCCACCACTGCTCCTTGGGGTTGGTGCAGAGGCAGCGGTGTGGCTCATCTTGAGTGTGGATAATGATGGGACAAGGAGGAATGGCTTTAAAGTGAGACAGGGGAGGTTTGGGTTGGATACAAGGAGGATGTTTTTCAGCCAGAGGGTGGTGAGGCACTGGTTGCCCAAGGAGGCTGTGGATGCCCCATCCCTGCAGGCATTGGAGGCCAGGCTGGATGTGGCTCTGGGCAGCCTGGGCTGCTGGTTGGCAACCTGCACACAGCAGGGGTTGGAACCAGGTGAGCACTGTGAGTCTTTTCAACCCAGGCCATTATGGGGTTCTGTGATTCTACGATATGATCTCAGCAGCAGCCACGCTGTGTTCGTGGTGTGGCCCCTCTCAGTGGCAGACATGTGGTGCTCTTGCTTTGGCAAGGGACGTCACGAGGACAAAACCTGCAGCTAAGTTAGCAAGCAGTGTCCTTGCTGAGCAGCACTGATAGTTTCACCCATTCTGTCTTCCTCTGGAAGGCAGCTGAATTGCCCCTGCATGCCGACACCACGCCTCGTGTACTTTGCACACCGGAGAGTTTGGGGTTGGGCTGCGGTTCCCGTTTTGGTTTACAACCAAAACAGAGTGACTTCACGTTTTGCTGTGCCAGGAGCTGGAAGGTTTGCGAGAATGCAGATGACACCATGTCTGAAGGAGGAATGCTGGAGGAGAAGGCAGAGAAGCGCAGCATCACTGTCCAGCATTGCTCTGGGGTCCATGCATGAGGTGCTGGAGCGCCGTGCTGCCATGCAGCCGCATCCTGCCTCGTTTGGTTGTACATATGGTAAGGAGTAAAAACAGTGAGGGTGCAGGGCACAGGGAGCTGCGCAAAGCCCAGACACATGGGATGCTGTGCAGCGCAGCCCCGCAGCGCTGGGTGATGCAGCGGCCGGTCCTTCAGCTTCCAGGGCAGCCTGGAAGGGACGCACGGGCATCGCAGCCCGGTGGCATGGCCTCACCTGCTGGAAGCTGTGGGTGTCCTTGGCTGGAGCAGCCGCCAACCACATCAGAGAGATGAGATCCTTTCTCAAGGATGCTTTGATTTGGGAAAGGTCCCCTGCTGGAGGTGCTGACACGGCTCCCCCTGCAGCCGCCCTGTGCAGCCCAGGATGGACGGCTGTGGGCTCAGAGCAGACGCAGAACCCCAGAACTGCAGGGGTTGGAGGGGATCTCTGGAGATCCTGCAGTCCAACCCGGCCCCGTTCTCCCGACCCCACCCTTCAGATATCGATCAGCGTTGATCGCATCCCTCTCAGCCTCCTCCAGGTGCACAGCCCCGGGGCTCTCAGCCTGTTCCCATCCCGAGGTGCTCCAGGCTCCCACCATCTCAGCACCCTCTGCTGGGTTCTCTCCAGCAGTTCCCAGTCTGCCCTGAACTGCGAGCCCAGCGCAGGGTTCTGGCAGTGACCCATCACGGCAGAGCAGAGGGGAGGAGAACCTCCGCGCCCTGCTGGCCGCGCTCTGTTCAAAGCACCTCAGGTCCCATCAGTCTTTTTGGCAATCAGGGCACGCTGCTGGCTCGTGGTCAATCAGCCATTGGCCGCCAGGAGCCCCAGGTCCCTTCTAGCGCAGCTTCTTTCCATCATCTCGGCTCCAGCCTGCCCTGATGCCCTGCGCACTGCAGAAGGCGGCGCACGGTGGAGCTCTTGCACCGGGATTCCCTGTAAGCCGATGTGCCTGGAGCCGCTCGTACGGCGCAGCTCAGGGCCCGTGAGGACGCGTGAAGCTGCAGTGAGGGGTTTGGGGAACGTCCCCTCGGCTGCGGGTGCCCGCATCGCTCCTGCTGCGCCTCGCACAGGGATCCAGGCAGGCGGCGGAGCCCCCATCCCTGAGCGTTGGAGACGCGGCGCTTGGGGACGCGATCACGGTGGGATGGGTTGGGGGTGGGGGATCTTGAGCGTCTTCTCCGACCTTAACGACTGTGTGACCCTGCAGTGGGGTTGGGACCCCCTCCGGCCGAAGCCATTCTGTCCCCGTGGGTCCCTGCTGACAGCTCAGGATGTTTTGCAATTCTAAAGCTCTTTGGAACGCACGCTGAACCGGCCGAGCCCAGTACTTGAGGGATGGGCGCGAGCAGCAGCTATGGGCAAACAGAAGAGACAAAAATCCTTTTTATTCTGAGCCATTGCACAACTGGGAGCTCTGTGGGAACTGAACTCCGAGCATCTTTCAGCCAGCCGTGCGATGCCGGTGCTTCAGATCCGCGGCCGTGCAAAGAGCCCGGGGTTTCCTGCAGCCTTTCCAGAGAACTCTCTTATCTCACGGCTTCCCATCGAGCCCTGGCATGAGAGTTTGCTCTGCAGCTCCAGGCACAGCAGAGGGCACGCGTGCTCGTGGTGCTCGATTACCCCTCGCGCTGCTGCTCTCCTCCCAGAGCAGTTGTCGCTGTGCCAGGAGCTACTGGTGGCGCCCTGGGAAATCTGCACGGTGCTCCGGGACTCGGACCTGACTCACGTCTGCTCCTCTTTCAGCTTTGCAAGCGGCTGAACGAGCTGCCTGCTTTGCAGGCCCCCTGTTCTGCTGTTGTGTGATCCCGCCTGGAGCACTGCGTCCAGTTGTGGGGGTCCCAATGCAAGTGGAGCTGTTGGAGGGGGTGCAGAGGAGGGTCACAAAGATGATCGGAGGGCTGGAGAACTTCCCTTATGGGGATGGGCTGAGAGAGCTGGGGCTCTGCAGCCTGGGGAAAAGGCGGCTCTGGAAAGAGCTTACAGCCCTTCCAGGACCTGAAGGAAAACTGGGGAGGGACTTTTATAAGGGCACATAGTGACAGGACAGAATCACAAGGTTGGAAACGACCTGCAAGATGATCCAGTCCAACCCCCCTCCCATTGCTATCAGTACCACCAGCACTAAACCACATCTTGCAGCTCCTCATCCAGGCGCCTCTTGAACACAACCAGGGACGGCGCCTCCACCACCTCCCTGTGCAGCCATTGCAGCGCCTGACCACCCTCTGAGAGAAGAAGTTTCTCCTCATGTCCAACCTAAACCTCCTCTGCTACAACTTGTGACCATTTCCTCGGCTCCTGCTATTTGCCTGGGAGAAGAGGCCAGGCCCTTTTGCACCCACAGCCTCCCTGCAGGAAGTTGTAGAGTTCAATGAGTCTCCCCTGAGCTCCTCTTCTCCAGGCTGAACCTTCCCAGCTCCTTCAGCTGCTCCTCGTAAGACTTGTGCTCCAGACAAGGAGAAATGGCTTTAAACTGGAAGAGAGGAGGAGTTTTATACTAGATCTTGGGAAGAAATTCTTTACTGTGAGGGTGGTGAAGCACTGGAGCAGGTTGCCCAGCGAGGTTATGGATGCCCCCTGCCCTGGAAGCCCTCGAGAGCTGTGAGCAGCCTGAGCGAGAGGGAGGCGTCCCTGCCCACAGCAGGGGATTCGAAACAGAACATCTTGAAGGTCCCTTCCAACCCAAACCATTCTGTGGTTCTGCGGTCCTCAAATGTGCTGAAGGGCCGTGGGTTGGGCTGGGTGTTGCGAAGGCGCAGACAGCCGCAGCTCCGCGCCTGCTGGGCGGTCAGTTGGCTTTGCTCCGTGCTCGTGATACAGCAGCCCCAGAATCGTGGGATCATGCGCTCGTAAAACGGCTGACGTTGGAAAAGACCTCCAAGATCATCCAGTCCAACTGTATCCCCAACATTTCCTGCTGAACCACGTCCTTCAGTGCACACCTATCACGGTTCCATGGGGTTTTTTTTTTTTGTTCATTTGTTTAATTTTGGGTTTCAGTATTCCACATCACAGAATCACAGAATCACAAGGTTGGAAATGAGCTGCAAGCTCATCCAGTCCAACCCCCCTTTGCTCCCATTCCCATTCCCAACTCCCATTGCTATCAGTACCAGCAGCACTAAACCACATCTCGTAGCTCCTCATCCAGGCGCCTCTTGAACGCTGCCAGGGACGGCGACTCCACCACCTCCCTGTGCAGCCATTCCAGTGCCTGACCACCCTCTGAGAGAAACAGTTTCTCCTCATATCCAACCTAAACCTCCTCTGCTACAACTTCTGGCCATTTCCTCGGCTCCTGCTATTTGCCTGGGAGAAGAGGCCAGACCCACATCGAAACATCACATAGTGTATGGGGCATTGAAGTGTTAAAGTGCCCCACAACAGACGGATCTTCTGACAGGCCAGGAACAACAGACAGCTGCTCAATGTCCTCTGTGTCCACAGCAGCTATTCCAAAGGCCCATTGATACCCCTTGGGATCCTTGAAATGCCCCCTTCTGAGATAATCAATACTTAGAACACATGGAGCCCCTGGGCCCGTCACAACAGGGTGTTTCTGCCAGTCCTTACCAGTGAGGCTTATCTCAGCCTCCAACACAGTCAATCCTTGAGAGCCCCCGGTCACTCCATAAGTATGGATTGATTCTGTCCCTTCATGACTCGAGGGCATCAGAGTGCAGTCAGTAATTCTATGTCTATGCATACAGCCGTGTGCGTGTGATGCATTTTGATCATTTTTTGTTTGTATATATGTATCCCTATTTTAAGCATGACGTAACGATGTAGAATAAGGGGTGGAATGTCATGGTTCCATGTTTTTTTGTGTGTTTTTGGGTTTCAGTGTTCCACATCCAAACACCATGCAGCGCACGGGGCATTAAAGTGTCCCTGCCCCAATCCCAGGTTCCCATCCCTGTACATGACAGCAGTCCCGGGATCTGGCCCTTCCAGGTGGCTGCTCTCTTGCTGCCTTGCAGTGGGTGCTGCAGGTGCTTTCCTGGCCGTTCCAAGCTGTTCAGGTTTGACTCGGTCCCGGGAACTCTCTCTCTCTCATCTCGTCTGATTTATTCATCTCAATTTCAATTAAATTGTATCTATTGTGTTATCTTGTATTATAGTAAAATAAGTTTTCCTCCATAGATTGCTGCCGCTGCTCTTTTCCTCCCTTCCTCCCTTCCCATTTTGTGGGACTGGGGGGTGGGGGAAGAGCAGAGGCCTGTTCCCCCTGTCATGGACATCAATTGATCTGATCAACTCCATGACAACACCTCAACGTTTTGGGACGCGCGCCGTACCGCAAACACGCAGCTCCGCCATCAGGAACCCCCAGCACCAGAAGCCCGGTGCGATGGCCAAAAAGGCAACGTGTGGTCACACATCTCCCATCCTGCTCCAAATGGGGCTTTTTAGGGCTCTTTGGCCCCAAAGCGTCGCGTGGCAGGAAAGCGTGTGGCTGTCGCGTGTAATTATTCACATTAATTAGTTGTGTGCTCTCAGCTGAAGGTGGTGAGCAGGATCGCAGCGGTCCAAGTGGAGATGGTCGGGTCCCAACCCGTCCCCACCGTGCCCGCTCATGCAATCATGTGTTCAGAGTCATTAAGGTTGAATAAGAGCTCCAAGATCAACAGGTCCCACCCCAAGCCGTCCCCAGCGCTGTTCCTTTGTGCCACGTCTGCTCACCGCTGGGACGCCCCCAGGGATGGGAGTCCCACGCATCCCTGCTGCTCCGCTGCTGAGGTTCGTGGCTGATCTCCACATCTCACCTCCTGTCAGCTCTAAAGACAGCAGCGAAAACTCGCTTTTCCAGAACACGACCATCTTAATTACGAACATCCACAGGCAATGCATCTGAGGCTTGTAAGCTTCCTTTTATTAAACAGGAGCGGAGTTATTCAGCTCAGTTATTCAGCCCAGCGCCGTGCGGCACGGCCGTCCCAGGGCCGTCTGCGATGTGGGAGCGCGCACACAGGCTGCACCCGGAGGAGGACAGCTGAGGGAAACATGGGGAATCACAGAGCTGAGAAATGAGGGAAGGAAGCAGCGGGGCCACGGCTCCCTCCTGCAGCTCCCTGCTGCTCGCTGCTCCCAGCACGGCCCCGGCCAGCAGTCCGGCACGGCACCCGCTGCTGTCTCCAATCACCCGTGAGGATCTCATGGAAAAACTCTATGGGGGCTCTCTGTAGAACAAGAGAACTGCAGGGAGGGGAAGCACACACGGTGAGGAGGATGCTATGAGAGTAAGTACAGAGTGATTGCAGCGCATGAAGCAGTGAGAGACCAACCAGCACTCAGTTGAGAGCAAGCAGCCCAGGGACCCCTGGGGAAACAGGCTGGGGCAGTGAGAGCAAGCTCAGCAAGCCCCTCCAGGAGCAGCCAATGTAAGCAGGGTGCTGTGCCTGCATGTAAGCTTCGGATGTGCGAGCCTAAAACCGTGCCAGTGCCGTGGAGATCGGTGCAAACATGTTCAGTGCGTAAAGAACACGCGTGAGAAGGGAAAGAGAAATTCCGTTCTCACGTCAGCGAATACTGTAGGAGATTTTGTCCATATAAGAAGAAAGCATACAATATATTGCACATAAATGAGCAGAGATAAGCCGGGCTGATTCATGAATTCCAGGAAGGTAATAAAAGAAACAGGATTAGACGCTATAACGTAATGCATCACTGAGTCACTTCAAAACCATATTTCATGCGTGAGTCCTGTGACAAAATGAAAGCGAAGAAGGAAATACTGAAAGAGCTTGAAGGAGATCAAGAAAACAAGGCAAGTCAGTGAGAAAAGAAAGGGAGGCAAAAGTGTGAGAGGCAAAACAAGTTGGAACAGACCGAAAATTGTTCCCCATGGAAATAACAGAGTAAAAAAAAAAAGACAATAATTACAATTACTTAGCAAAAATCTTAAGGAAATACAGCCCCGTGTCCGGGTCGGGCACGCAGCGGCGCAGGAGCTGCATGTAGGTGAGGTTCTCGTGCGTGTTGGGGTCGAAGAAGCCCTTGGTGTCGTCGCTGGGGTCGGACAGGACGCGGCTCATCTCGTGGTCAAAGTAGCCGCGCTGGAAGGCGGCTTGGACGGGCAGGCGGTGGCTGTGCACGGGGTCGATGATGCCGCCGGTGGCGATCTGGGCCTCCAGCAGGCGGATGCCGTGCTCCCTGACGATCAGCCCCTTCTGCATGGCCTGGAAGAGGGAGATCTGGGCGCCGCTGTAGGGGTCGGTGTAGCCCGTGACGGCCCTCTCGGCCGACAGCAGCTTCTCGTGCAGCTCGCTGCCCACCAGCCCGCAGGAGACGGCCTCGTCCAC